GGTGGCTCTCCCTGTTCACACTCAGGAAAGATGAGAAATAGTACAGGACACACGGTTTTCCAGGCGGAACCGCGTTGGGAGAGCACAAGGAAGGGGGAAACCTCGGCCGGAGGACTTCCGGGAGGCTGACAAGGGATCCGAGAAAGGCCTGTGGCGGAGAGAAGTAAGGCTTCGCCTGGCCCCGAGCTTTGGCCCAAACGTCTACACGCCTATGGAGCCGGCGCCTGTGCCACGGGGCAAAGCAACAGAGACCAACAGCCGAAAAATACCCTGCCAGTACCGTTCGCTTTCGGTGTGTGTCAGTAAACCCACCACAAAAAGAGGCTACGAAGGTTGCGTCTAATAAGACGCGCCGAGCGGAAGTCCCGCCTCCCTGCGTGACGTTTATTTGCCGCGCCCATAGGCCCGGCAAAGCGAGGGCTCCAGCGCGGTGTGTGTGTCTGGGTAGGTAGGTACTGCCCCCCAACTTGGAGTCCCTGACGTCGGCGGTAAACGTCAAAACAGTTTGCGAAAGCGCCTTCTTGCTCAGGTGACGATTTTCTACGCGCTTTTCAGTATCAGTTTCTCACCGCTGTGCTACCGGTTGTGAAGACTCAATACTGTTGCTTTACACTGGAGAGACAGCGCAAAAATGGACGCTCCCTTGGTGTTTTCAACTATGAAGTATTTATTTGTATGCTAGGACGTAGTAACTAGAGAGTAATACAGTTTAAAGCCTTAACTCTTGAAATTAGTTTTTTCAAATATCTAAAACTTAGAATTCCACAGCTTGTAGGTCCGAAGTGACTAGAAATCATTTGCCAGAGTCGCTCCTGGAAAGGACATAGCTCAGATTCAGTTCCCCAGGGTTCTTCATTGTAGTGTTCAGTATCGCTGAAGTCGTATTTGCTAAGAATGTGTGTCTTAACCAGCGCCATGGTTCACACCTGTAATCATAGCACTTTGGGGGGCCTAGATGAAAGGATCACTTAAGCTAAGAGGTTGGAGACCAGCATGAACAATATAGCAAGACCCCATCTTCCCCCGCCCCCCACCGAGTCTCTGTTGCCCCAGGCTGGAGTGCCCTGTGGCAGCCTTTAAACTCTTGGTTCAAGCCATCCTTCTGCCTCAGCCTCCAGGGTAGCTGGGACCACAGGTGCCCAGCACAATGCCTGGTTAATTTTTTATATTTTTAGTAGAGACCTGCTGTTACCCAGGCTGGTCTCTAACTCCTGAGGTGAAGGGATTCTCAGTGCTAGGATTACAGAAGTGAGCCACCATGCCCAGTCTAAGACACCACCATCTCTTTGTTTTAAAAACAGTGTTACCAGATGAAGAGAGGCCAGCCACCTGTCACTGTCAGCCAGATGCAGAAATGGTGATTAGGTTCAACAAACTTTCTTGTCAGAAGGACATGCTGGAGAACAGTGAAAGTAGTTTCTCACATCTGTTCTGTCCTTCCATTTCCAAAAACATAGTTTTATACGTAAAAGTTCAAAGCAAAACCATGTTAACCCTTATTTTAAACAATAATTAACCCTTAACAATAATCAGCATAACCTGTGACCCTCATAATAAACAGTAATCGGCATAACCCATGACTCAAAACATTGCTAATTCAGAAGTTAATCTAAATCAATCACCCTAAACTACTCCAGACACACTATTCGGTTAAAGCTGAATTTAGAAAACAACGGTGGAAGACATGAGGGAAGGTCATGTATGACTGGCCAGACCAGCTGTGTTGACTGGGCCCTGGCCTGACTTACTGCATCTTATTCAGGCTACATGCTCTCAGCAGTAGAAGAAGAAAGAAGAATCAGCTGGGGGCAACAAGGGTCCTAGCTACTTTGGAGGCTAAGGTGGGAGGATCAGTTCAGCCCACCGTACTCCAGCCTGGGCATCAGGCTAAGGCCCTGTCTCAAAAAAGAATTTCAGTGTCTATGTGTCCACCTATAATCAGAGCATAAAACCAAACTTCCAGACTAGTAAGACTGAGAGGTGTTACACTTAGCACTAGTATAAATGATGGTATTAGCACATCTGTTCAAATTTGAACTACTTAAACTAGATTCAAACTCCGTGAAAAGGCTGATTTAAAGGAATGGGTAGTTTTTTAAAGGAATCATTTATCACAAAAATATGCAAGAAATCATCTTTTAGAACCCATTTCTATGCCCAAATGCGTGGTGCACAGTAGGCATGTTTAGCTGACCTAGTCAACTAATTTTTTACCAGGAATAATCCTGACAGTGCTTTTTGTATTTCCTCCATGTGTAAAGTAATCCCCAGAAATTATTCCTAGATGTGTTTTACTGAAGGTTATATAAGTGCCTGTTCGATTTTTTTTTTGCCTTCACAGAAAACTGTAAACTCATTGAAACCAAGAACTATCTTGTTGACTGTTACATCCCCCACTCCTGACACTTAACAGGAGTTCCATAAATATTGCCTAAGTGACCAGTCTAAAGCCTTTTAGTGCACCTTACACTCTGCTGAAAGAATTTTCTTGGAGGTCAGTCAGATGTTTATTTTGATCCTTCTGAGCCATGTGATAGCCTTGTGCTATGAGCTAAATTGTGTCCTCTAAAATTCCTTTGTTGAAGCCCTAATTCCCAGTACCTCCGAATGTGACTGTATTTGATGATAGGACCTTTAGAAAGTGATTTAGTCAAAATAAGGCCATTAGGACAGGCCCTAATCCAATCTTGCTGATGTCCTTGTAAGAGGAAATTTAGACATACTGAGAGTATGCCTAAAGGATGCCTGAGCACAGAGGAAAGGCCACTTGAGGACGCAGAAGTCAGCTTGGCAAGGAGAGACCTCAGAAGAAACCAAGTATGCCAATACCTTGATCCTGGACACCGAGCCTCTGGAACTGTGAGGAAATAAATTTCTGTTGTTTAAGCCACCCAGTCTGTTTTGTTATGGCAGCACCCTAACAAACTAAGATACCCTGTATCATAGGCAAGTGTCTTCAAAAGTGAGAACCTCAGTTTCTGCCAGTTAAATAGGAATGCCACCAATGTTAAGCCAGGGGTCCTCAAACTTTTTAAACAGGGGGCCAGTTCACTGTCCCTCAGAGGGCCAGACTACGGGCCCCAGGCGAGTTAGCTGCTAACCAGGACAGGCAGTGGCAGCAAAAACACCCTGTGGGCCGGATAAACGTCCTAGGCAGGCTGCATGTGGCCCACGAGCCGTAGTTTGAGGACACCTGGTTAAGGCAGTGTTTTTCAACCTTTTTTTTATCTCATAGTACACTAGAACCTGTAGTTAAACTTTCACAGCACACTTAAATTATGTTGATCCAAAAAAAAGAGTAAAAGAAAAAATATATTTTAACTGTGCTTTCAACTTCTTTCAAAAATAATTTAATTGGTGATCTTTAAAATTTTTAGTGGCACATCTAAGAACCTATCATGGCACACCAGTTGAAAATCACTGGTCTAAGGGTTGTTCTGAAATCAACTTAAAGTGAAACACCTGGCTATGGGGCTCAACTTACTTTGTTGAGCAATGATTGGACAAGGGGGAGGTGCCTGAAATTGAGCAGCAGAATGTGGTGGACCCTAGAGCCGTTGCCTGAGCCACTCCAGAGTCCAGGAGCAGGCAAGTTGGGAGGTACCACAGCTGCTGCATCAGCTGGGCCTGATGGAACACAGTTCTTAAACAATAGTGGTAGTCGGGATAGGAAGAGTCACAAAATTTGATCAAAATGAAATTTTTAAATTTTTACAGCCTAGGAACTGGGTGAAAACATAGCTAATGTCTTGGCTGTAAATACTTTTTAAAACCAAAACAGGTCTGGTGCAGTGACTCACACCTGTAATCCCAGCACTTTGGAAGGCTGAGTCAGGAGGATTGCTTGAGACCAGGAGTGTGAGACCCCAGCTCTACAGATTTTTTTTAAATTAACTTCTTACAAATTTTTTTTAAAAATTAAGTGGATGCTATGGCACACACCTGTGTCTCAGCTGTTGAGGAGGTTGAGGCAAGAGGATCCCTTGGGCCTACGTGTTATGAGCTATGACACCACTGCACTCTAGTCTGGGCAACAGAGTGAGACTATTTCAAAACACAGGGAAAAGAAAACATTCCTTAAAGGTGAGATATTCCTTCAGAGGAACAGCTAGTGAGAAGTGTATATATTTGATTTTCAAGGAATTATCTCCTTTAGATGCTCTTTAAAGGGCCCTCTATAAAGAATCCGAATAGTAAAATACATATCTTTTGAAATAACAGTAAGCTTTTCAAAAGCACTTCCTATCTACAAAGCACTGTTCTAAACACTGCATGTATTTTCTATTTATTCTTTAAAACCATTCTAAAGCAGGTACTATTATTGCCATTTTACCAATGAGAAAATAAGCACAATGGTGATAGTAAGTGCAGAGCCAGCTTTTGAACCTTCATAATGCATAGGGTTTCATCACATCTATGGAAACTCTAAGAACTGATCTCTTGAAATAAAGTATGACTAGGAATATCAGAGAGAGAAGGATGCAGTAACTCTTAAAACAGTTCTGCAAAAGGAGTCTCCCTAAGCCTAAATTCCAGTGTGCTCTTAAGAACTGCCAAAGTTTTAAGCCAAGTAATTAAACAATAATATGTATCAAGAATTTTGTAAAAATTGTTTAGGAACAGTAAAGAATCTGAATAAGCTCATCTTCTTTTCCTGTATGTTACCCTATTCTTTAATTTCTTGTGTTGCATTTTTCTCCTTTTTTCTTGGCTCTTCTCTGAAATACTAGGTTGACTAAATGGAATTGCTGATATTCAACCATTTTTGACCTGCAAAAGTAACTTCATTTGGTCCAACTAACATAACAATTGAGTTTTCTATTTCCTATTATATTAGAAATCAGAAATTATAGTCATCATAGTACGTATTGTTTCAATGATTACAAAAGTAAGATTCAAGACAGTTTCTTACAACACTAGGTTAGGCAAAAATGACAAACTGTCATTTACTTCAAAGTTATTCCCCACCTAAAACAAAGGTTCAAAAATATTCACATGACTAAAAGTAGAAAACAAAACTTTATTTGATGAAAACTTTAAAAGTTCCAGTGTGAAGTAACAAAATCAACCTACAAATCTCTTTCAGTCCTTTGCATTCCCAGCAAAATATTCTCTTCAGAAAAATGACCATTTCATAATATATATTCCCTTCTGTAGGCTAGGCATGTATGAGTGGATAAATGGATATAAAATTCAAGAGAAAATAATGGAAATATTTTAAAAATAAAAATCTGAACCCTCTCCTTGAGGTGTATTGCGATATGGTTACCAACATATTCAGCACCTTGTAATCTCCAAGTTACTGATTTGAGTCCTGAAACAAGCCCCTGAAATAAAAGAACAAGAAATCCTAGTTGTTTGTAGGTCACAGGTCGGCAGCAGAAGAAAAACTGACAGCAGCTAGAGAGGAGCTCCAATATATGAAATGTACACTTCTGACATATTTAACACTCAACGTCAAACATCTTACTGTCTCTACAGTTTAGAAAGGGAAACAGCTCAGAGTGTGCAATATGGATAGTCACCCTCTAAGTGACACTGACACTCCTAACGCATCTTCAGTGCTGTTATCAACATACAATTCCATATTGAGGAACCAATCAAACATCAGGAGATCTCATTTCACAGAAAACCTTGGGTATAGAAACTTCAGATGCTACTTTTTATTATTTTACTCTGCCCTAAAACAAAGTTTATGCTAGACTTATAGCAGTCATACCAAGTCAAAAAGTAAGAAATACCTCTATCAATGCATGAAGTCACTCAATTTGCACCAATAGAAAGGATGAGTTTCTTGAGTCTCCTGCCCCTGTAGTGAGAATCCTGAGACAGTTAACCAGGAAATAAGGAGGCAGGCCAGTACTGCTATAAGTAAAATAATTATTAGGCTCATGAAATAATTTTAAATGAGCTTTGACCATGAGTAAAAACTAGAGATTGGCAGCCCTAATTTTTTTAAGGGTAGATGGTGCCTTACATCTTGAGGTTAGGAATAAAACTATCTAAGCAAATGTCTAGGAATCAAGTCATAAGAAATCACTTCATGCTTAAGTATTTCAAATATTGATGCTGTTAAGTGGATTTGTGTTTGACTTATTTAGATAGTGCTGTACTTTTATTGAATTTGGTGAAACTTTCTGTCCAAATTATTTATATACTCTTAACTTTAAAAAGACAATAGTCTGTGCTTATTTGCTTATATTTCTGAAACCACCCATCATAATCATATACAGCTTATTCACTGACAAATTTATGTTTTGTACCACAAGATCAGTTCCTATTTAACAAAGACTTACTAAAATCTTCTACAGTCTTAATGTAGTCCTGTATACAACAGTTGAATGCATAATACCAGTTTTTCAGTAGCCAGCACAGTCAATCATTCCCATCATAATCACTGTAACCCTGGTAGCCACTGTTCCTTCTCTCATGAATACTAGACATTCTTTTCCATGCTGAGTCCTGATGGAAACTAGCACTAAAAGACCGGCCCAGACGCCCATGATGCTTCTTAGAAATATTATCTTCACTCTCTGATTTGGCAATTCCCTGGGCATGTGGAGGTTGTGATTCTTGTCTAATGGTTCCAAATGGAAAGTTCCAAAGGTCAAATCTTTGCCAGTTAAGTCTCTGGAATGCTATGATGCAATGCAAATTTCCCCCAACCTAAGAAGAAAAAGAATTTTTAAAGTTGGGTAAAGAAAATGAAGAGAAATTAATTGTACTAATTTGTGAGTCCCTATGAACTCTTTATTTTTTCCCCTTCTTCACCTGCCTCAAAACAGCATCATCAGCATACTATCCTGTATCTTTCCTAATAACTGCCTTTACAAAACATACCCATGCCCTCAAGGGCCAAAATACCTTCCCCAGCCCCCACCTCTCTACCACTCACTCTCAACACACTATAACCTCCCATCTTCCTAATTCATATAACAAAACCAACATCATCCCACTTCCTCTCTCTCCTATTCTTCATACCTTTTTATAGGAATACTATTCCATCAATGGGATGTCTACTCAATCTACAGTATGTACCATTCCCTGACAACCTTCCCCCAAAGCCTTATTTATGTACATGGCTCTATCCCATGGCCATAGTTAATTTGGCCCAAGATGGGCTAAGACTATGGACCTAACCCAAGGCAGGTCAGTCTCAGTCTAGACAGTTCATCTAAAAGGGAGATGTAAACTGCAAGATGATATTCAAGAAGTAAATAATCAGACTAAAAAAAAGCTAAAACAATATATAGCCCCTCACAGAATGAGGGTCTACTAGCTACTTGGCCCCTGCTATCATCCCAATACCTGGTACCATCCCCTTATGACTTCAGGCTATACTTGTTGCCCTTGAATTTTAAATATACTTCTGTGTCCTTAAAATAATTTCCACTTTTCTGTCTAAAATGGTCCGAACTGAGTTTCTGTTAGTTGCAACCTAAAGAGTACTGAGTAAAATAAGGAGTTTTTGTCAGCTGAGAAATGCCTTCAAATATGACCATGTTCTCACCTTCTTTGTTTTCCGATACTGCAGCCCCCTCTCTAAGTGTCGGATATCTAGGTATTCTGGATTTTGAGTGTTTAGGTCAGTAACAATATCTGCCCACCTGTAGTTAAGAAGAAAGAACAAACATAATTTTCCTTAGTTCCAAAATATCATTGTAATGGAACTTGTCACATGAGCAAATTGCTACAATATTATCACAGCAATAATTGGCAATAACTCTCTTATATCAGCATTGTATAATCTACTAAACTTCAGTAACATCTTGTTTTTATGGCAGTTCTTTTAATCCAACCATTGCCAACGTCATCAGTCTAAAACTGGTAACTTTTCCTATAAGTATCAACATGTTAAGTGATATCTTGCAGGCTAACATAGCATCATGCCATATTTACTTTTTAATTATAATCAAGTCAATTTTTTATTTTTGAGACAGAATTTTACTATGTCACCCTCAGTAGAGTGCCATGGTGTCACAGCTCATAGCAACCTCAAACTCTTGGGCTTAAGTGATTCTGTTGTCTCAGCCTCCCAAGTAGCTGGGACTACAGGTGCCCGCCACAGGGCCAGGCTAAATTTTGTGGCAGTTGTCATTATTTAGCAGACCCTGGCTGGTTTCAAACCCACCAGCCTTGGTGTATGTGGCTGGCACCATAACCACTGTGCTATGGCCGCTGAGCCATCAAGTCAATTTTTAAAAGAATTAAAAGTTGTTATACCTTTAATAAGAGACAACATTGTGCAGAAAATTATAAGTAATTACCAGAATTAATAAGTGAATTTGGTAAAGATATAAGATTCAAAGTCTAAATAAAAAAGTCAACTGTACTTTTTATATTCAGCAAAAAATTGGAAAATGTGGCTCAGCACCTGTAGCACAGTGGTTACGGTGCCAGTCACATACACTGAGGCTGGTGGGTTCGAACCCAGCCCAGGCCAGCTAAACAACTGCAACAACAAAATAGCTGGGCATTGTGGTGGGTGCCTGTAGTCCCAACTACTTGGGAGGCTGAAGCAAGAGAATACCTTAAGCCCAAGAGTTTAAGGTTGCTGTGAGCTGTGACACCACAACACTCTACAGAGGGCGAAATACTGACATTCTGTCTCAAAAAAAAAAAAATTGGAAAATGAAAACTTTTTAAACATTAATTACATCAAAAAATGGAACACACTTAGGAAAAATTTTAACAAAAAACATATAAGATTCCATATTGAAAAATGTAAAACATTGCTGAGAGAAATTAAAGCTTTATTTAACTGGAGATACTATCTATCTTCATGGATTGGAAAATACCAGATTTTTATAATGTCAATTCTCCCCAAAATAAACTCTTAATTCTATAGATTACATCCTAACCAAAATCTCAACATTTTAACAAAAAGTGACAAATTCTAAACTTTTTATATAAAATCAAAGTTCCTAAGATTAAAGAAAATTTTAGAGGATTCATGCCACATAATTTCAGGATAGAGTATAAACAACAACAATTAAGAGTATAGTATTAGTGTAAAGATACACAAAGAGATTAGGGGAACAGGGTCCAGAAATAGACCACACATCCATGACACATACATGGCCAATTAATTTTTAGCTGAGGCACCCAAAAAATTAAACAAGGAAAGAAAAATAAAGAAATTGTGCTGGAATAAGTGCATAAACATTGGGTGGAAATCAAAGTTGACCCCCACTTCATACCACACACAAAAGTTGATTGCAATGGATCATAAACTTAAACATAAAATCTATAAAGCTTCTAGAAGAAAACAGGAGCTTATCTTTCAGGCTGTAGGTAGGGTAGGAAAAAATTTCTTGAAGAGGCACCAAAGAAAAAGCACATAACAAAATTAGTAAGATGGATTTAGTCAAATTTTAAAACTTGTGTTCATCAGAAATTCTGTTCACCAGAAGGAAACAACCAATTTGGAGAACTTTCTCAGATACTTAAATACATATACATCCTGTGAATCAGTAATTTCACTCCTAGGTACCTACCAGGGAGCAATAAAACATCTCAAAAAGACTTGTACAGCAAAGTGTATATATCCATGCAAAGGAAAATGATTTGGCTGTATAAGGGAATGAAGTTCTGATCTATACCATAAAATGGAGCAACCTTGAAAACATCATATTAAGAGAAAGAAGCCAGACATTAAATGCTACATATCGTATGACTCCATTTATATGAAACGTCCAGAACAGGCAGATCCACAGAGCCAGGAAGTAGATGAGGGGTTGCCGGGGCTGAGGGAATGCAGAGAGTCTTAGTAGGTGTGAGGTTTATTTGCAGGGTGATGAAAGCATTCTAGAGTTAGATAAGCTTAGTGCACTATTCTATATACTAAAATCCACTGAATTGTGAATTATATCTCAGTAAAACTGTTCTGTAAATGTTTTAAAGACTTGCACATAAATGTTCCTAACAGCTTTATTCCACAACAGACCAAAACCCAAAACAATCCAGCCCGTCAACAGGAAAACGTGTAATAAACTGTAGCGTGCAACGGACTACGGCTCTGATAAACGTAACAGAGAAACCTCAAAAACGTTACCTAAATGAAGACACACACACACAAAAATATTGTATGATTCTATTTATAGAATTCAAGAACCGGCAAAACAAATCTATGGTGATAGAAATCAGAGCAGGGGGTGTCTATGGGCATTGATAGGATTAGGGAATGAGGGGGCTTTCTGTGGTGATGAAATGTACCGTATCTTGTTTGGGGTGGTGAATACTTATCAAAACTCATCTCATTATACAAATAAGACCTGTGCATTTCACTGTATCTAAATCCTGTCTCAAAGGAGAAAAGGTAAGTTACATACTTTTTACAGTGAATGGTTGGGTGTTTTCGACTTGATTCTCCAATTAAGATCCAATATTCGACTTCCTGTGGTGAGAGAGGACCCCTGCTAGATATAAAATACATTCACAGTAAGCTTTAGAAGATCATTCACTTCCTTTAGTACACTGCTTTAACTAGTGAATAAAAGATATATTATTCAAATTGGCATTATTTGATCTAAAATAGATATTAGAGTTTAGGTTTGGGAAATTTTCTGAAGGCCATTAAAGAGAACTCACAAATTAAATTTAGGACTTAATCCTCTATTCAAAATCTAGGGCTAAAAAAGTTTTAATATACTACCTCTTGGATCCTAGGAGAGAAAAAAAATCCTAGCATACTACCAGCATTTTTCAGCTACCCTCATTTTCACTATGCATTCAAAAGGTTTCAAAACACCTCCTAAAAATAAAACCTAAAGGGGCGGTGCCTGTGGAGTAGAGCGCTGGCCCCATATGCCGGAGGTGGTGGGTTCAAACCCAGCCCTGGCCCAAAACTGCAAAAAATAAAAAATAATAATAATAAAACCTAAAGCAGTGATTCACCTGGGAATTTTTAAACACATATGATGCCCTAATCCTATCCCGGGAAAATTCTAATTCAAATAAGTCTGGAGTAGAGTCCAAGGATTTGCATAGTTTAAAAAAAATCTCAGGTGATTCTTAGGTACAGGCAAAGGTACCCTTTAAAGGGTATACAGTAGGCATGAAATCACATTTTACATTTGATAGATGTCTGAAATAAAGTGAAGCTGAGGGATATAATCATAACACACAGTATACCTCTATACCTCACTTAACAAGAAATTCCACCATCAGAGAGGTGAAATTTAACTTAGTAGGTTGTGACAACCTTCTTGACCCTGGATTCTGGATTATACTGGGACATACTCTGGAAAGTCCATTCCAACTGCTTTATAATAAACATAAGTGACTTTCAAAAGGCTTTCTCTTGTAATGATGGGACAACAGTAAGCAGGAATTTGTTAAAGCACAATTAAGTGAATGCAATTCTGCAAAAGAATAAGTTATAATGTTTACAGAATAGTCTATGTCAGGAAAGTCGATCACCAAGCCTCCAGTTATAAAGAGAATTAGGATATCTCTTAATATTTCTCAAAATGCTTTCCAGCACACATTTTCCTGGTGACGTACCCACATGCGATGTGTACCAAGGCTTACCTGAATGCTTTATTAGCTTTAACAGGAGTTGCTTCAAAGCCAATTGGACAGAAATAATGATTTTGGCAATGATAGATGTAAGCCAGTGATTCATCTTTCAATCCACGTGTTAACTTTGACAAGGCGCCTGAAGCTACAAAGAACAAAAAAAACAACAAACAAAACAAAAAAAAACCCTGAAGGCCAACAACGCAATGTCCATGCTTTACACAGAGGACTAAAGCTTGGGAGACAAAGACACATTACTTGGAACACCCTGACCTGATGGGGGGGGGAAATGAGAAGCTATTGACAGGTTCCAAAAATATTAATGAATTTATTTTCAGTTTTACCCTTTAGACTGAAATTCAGATAAACTCATTAGCAAAATAAAGGACTGAAATGCCCTTGCTTATCAAAACCTAATACTATACTTGTCTATAAAATGTAATTAATGTACAAAGCCTAATGCCTACTGTGGTCTCAACTTTTCTTGTTACCCACAGCAGATGCGAGATGTAAATTTATCCAGTCATTAACAATTTCTGAACAAGCAGTTCCAGCAAAAACACATTTGGTTATAAGCCATATAAACACACACACACATATATATACTGCCATACGAATATGTCTTTATAAAAGATGTACAAAAATAGTAATTTTAAAGATGTTTTAATATGTATGTAGCATGTATACCTCAATTTAAAGAGATATACTGATGTATATGGATAAATATAAACTCCATATAATAAACTAGTCCCCCAACTGCAAACTTCCCTCACTAACACACACTTTAATCTTTCCACTAAAGTTACAGAGACTAGAGGAGCAAATGGAGAGAGGAGATAACACTGCCACAGAAACAGGCTGGTGGTGGCACCACAACCACCTCTTCTAACCACTCTTCCTTGTATGTGCCCCAAAACTATAATAGTTACCAATTTCAAAAGTATCACCATAAGAAGCAAGTTTTTATCAGCACTTTGTACTCAAAACCATTAACTGAGGTTTCATTAACTTGCTTCTCCCCAAAGAAATAAATTATTCATTAAGAAATAGTCCATTAAAATTGAAAATTCTAAAAATAGATGAAGCAGCTAAAAGCCAGCAAGACAGCATTTCAATGATCCACTTTCTGGCCATGAAAATAGCTGAAAACCACAAAGAACAGCGGGTTAATGGCTGTAGCAGAGAGCAGGGAGGTGGGCTCCCGCCCCCCCCCGAGGATTTGTGATGCCCCCAGACACAGTAACATTTCTGGTTTAAACTCTTTCCCCAGCGTTTCACAGATCCTCACTTCACTGCCTAACACCAGAGCACCCCTGACAGCCAGGGGAACTTTTCTCCTAAAATCTCTATTGTATAATGACAAATGTTAAATATGTCTTTCTGCAGTTTTTGGATGCGTTCCCCTGATAATTTAAAAACTGACACCCCTGAGGCAGCTCTAAATGAAGAGCTTTAAGAGCTGAAATTCAAAAGTCCGTATTTCATCTTCAGAATTGAACTTGATGGCAGATAAGATTCAGGACAGAAAAAAATGTAAATGTGTGGATTTAGAATCCTCATAAGTGCAATAATTATAAAAGATGTTTATAAACATGATTGATTTTTTTAAAAAATTCTTGAAAATCTTTTTAAGACTGTGAAAATGCCAAATAAAAAGTTATCCAAACAATTGGAACTTTTACTAAGAGGACTTTCATTAGAGGTAACTTTTCGCTGGAAATCATTGGATATTGCATACTTTCCTCCTTTCTAAGTCAGAGGTAATACAAAACTTCTTTAGTTCAACTATGAATAGTAATTAATTTAATATCCTGGAATATATTTAGGATTCCAGGGGAAAATGAGATAGGTAAGAAAGTCTATTCTCAATATTCACATCGTTTTGTCTGCTACAAATGCTCTGCCCAAAAACAGGAGGTCGTTTTTCTTCTGTGGAATAACGTTTATGGGTTAACGATATATTATTATTATATGTAAGACATAATGTCAATAGGTGACTATATCATAATATATAATTTTTATAAGTTATATACATCATAATATATATTTATGATATATTTTATCATGTTTGTGGCTTATGTTACTCAGGAATTTTTTTCTCCCTCCTTCAAGGTGCCTAACAGCATTCTGTCTGATTTAGATTAGGAATCAGCAAACTTTTTCCTAAAGGGCCAGAATTTAGGCTGTGGGTCAGAGGCACTGGTCATGCTACTCAACTCTGCCACTGCAGCATGAAAATAGCCATGGCAATACCCAGGGTCCTCAAACTTTTTAAACAGGGGGCCAGTTCACTGTCCCTCAGACCATTGGAGGGCCAGACTGCAGGGCCCTGGGACGAGTCGGCTGCTAAGCAGGACAGGCAGCGGTGGCAAAAACACCCAGCAGGCCGGATAAATGTCCTAGGCCGGCTGCATGAGGCCCACAGGCCATAGTTTGAGGACACCTGAATTGTAAGCAAAGCGATACTGCTGTATTTGAATAAAACTTTATTTACAAAATAGACCCCTGGCTTGTGGATGGTAGTTTGACAACCTCTAATTTAGATCAATAATTTTCAAACTTTTTTGACATGGACTTCCTTCTGCAAAGAAAATCTACATGGCAAACTAGTCCATAAAATGGGTCAAAGCAGAGCTGCTATTTGCCAAAAAAGAGGTAGGAAATCTAGCTGCCCACCCCTCTCTCCCTTCAGACCATGAGGCACCTCCATAGAATCCCTAGGACTCAACTGAGTACAACTTAAAATCAGGCCTGGATGAGTAAGTGTGGGAGGGCAGGGGGAGGGAGCAGGCGAGCCAGAAAAGAACATGCGCTAAAGGCAGGGGGACAGTCAACATTTTCCTTTCCATGGAGAGAGAGAGAGAGGGAGGCAGTTCCAAAGAAAGAATGCTGATTTCAGGGTAGAAAACAACAAAATGCTCGTCTAGAGTTTTCTTAACCCAATCTCCTGAATTCCTCCTGCCTCATTTTCTCCACCTAGGATTCATTAAATTAAAAATCAACTCCACTGAGCACAGGATCAGGCATTGTGATAAACAAGTGAATGAGAAGCTGGGCCTCTGTCCTCAAGGAAGGTAGCTGAGTTCTTGTCTGGAAGAAACCATCTGGCTTACTAAGAATTACCTGGCAGAGACATGAAAGCTCTGCCCACCACACATGGCGCTGATAGCCCAGCAAAAGGGGCCAGGCAGAGAAATGAAAGCTCTGCCTGCCCCACGCATGGTCCTATGATAAGCCAGCAGGAGGGATTTAATCCTGCCCGGCAAGCAGAAGAAAAAGTCTTCCTTCAATTTAAGTCAGGGTGGAAAGATAAACCAGATCCCCCAAGGTGATCAATCCTGCACTGCACACAATGCACAGCAGGCCACCCATGGGCAGGGCACACTGGCCCACGGCAGCCTGGGCTTCATGAAGAGCCCACCCTGGGCTGGCGGGGGAGTCTCTGGAGCTAGTCCCGCAGGCACCAAGCTGGGGGATTTGGCCTTCACCCTCTAGGTCAGGGATTAGCAAATTCCCCGTCACCGGCAAACCGGGCCGTGAGCCTACAGCTGGGGCTAGAATCGGGATAATGAGCTAAAGTGGTTTCACTTCATTAAGAATCAAAAGAAACAATATTTTGTGACATGTAAAAATTATATAATATTCAAATTTTAGATTCTTCAACAAAGTTTTCCTTATTTACATATTGTCTATGGCAGCCTTCGAGATCCATGGCATAGTTGTGACTATCCCAGAACCATATGTCTCCCAAAGCTAAGAATATTTCCTATCAGATGGTTTACAAAAAAATGTTTGCCATCTAACGCTCTAGATTAAGGATTTTCAGTATGGACACATCCAACTGGCTGTAGAAGATGACCCCTTGGAGTACAGAAACAAAATATTGGAACATTTAATTATATTGATTGTCATATTTGAAAAATAAATTAGGGCTTTACTATAGTATTTATCCTATGGATTGAGTCTAGATGCCTACTTAACCCTACATTAAAAGGTCCGGTGTCATACGTGCTATCCAAGAGAAGGGTGAGATTTCTGCATGGCCATGCTGGCATACATTGGTAATCGCTGGGCCCAAACCACTGACTTGCTTTCAGTGAACTGCCATTTTTCATTTACAGATTACAAATGTCATTGGTATAAATTATATAAGATTTGTAATGAATAGAATTGATGGGGAGCTAAACAGCATACCCCAAAATATGCTACCTTGGCATACTGAGTATTTTAAGCTGATGGAAACTGAAATAAATGGAAGCAGGAAGGTCTCCCTGACCTTCGTCCATGCCCTTTCCCCTTGAAGTGGGCCACAGAAACTAGGATTCTTCCAACTCCTTCTTCCCTGAAGCAGCCATAAAAGCTATGAAGGTCATTCTCTGTCCCTCTCCCTCCTTCTCCCCTGAAGACCTACATGTGACAGATGCCCTGCCCTAGACCCAGACATAAGAAATATCACACAAGTGCACTCAAACGTTTACAGCAGAACAAGTCACAATTGCAAAGATGTGGAAACAAGCCATGCCTACCAATATATAAATGGATTTATGAAATATGGTCTGCGAATACTATGGAATACTACTCAGCCAGGAAAAATGGCAAGCTAGTATCTTTTTGGACAACGTGGAGGGAACTGGAAACTAATGTTCTAAGTAAAACATCACAAGAACAGAGAAACAAGCACATGTACTCAATACTAAATTGGGACTGATCGGTCAACACTGAAGGGCACCTAGGGAAGTAAATCTCACTGAAAATCCAGCTGGGGCAAGGGCAAAGTGGGGTGGGGTAAATTCACACAGGGATGCCAAAAAGAATCTGAGGCTTTGATAAGTCCCACTCAGCCTGTTACCATTAGATTGTACCTTGCATTCTCCAATCAAACTTGATTATTCATAAAATGCACAGCTTTCCCTGTGTCTTTGGATCTTTATTTCTAAAGGCTCCTGTGTCATATACAACTTATATTAAATAAATGTGTATGTTTTTCTATTATTATCTTTTGTTACAGAGGTCCTAGCCATACATTTTGCAATGAGTAAGTAAAGGATATTCCTTTTCCTCCCCTACAAAATCATTCCTTTACTTTCCAACAACTTGAGAATGACCATGAAAATCTTTTGGACCTGAAAAGGGCTTGGCACATCTTGTGGAGCAGACATAAAAGAACTATAGAAGATAAGGCTGAGTTGCTGAGGTGTGCGTTTCCTTTACAAAAGGTCCCCAAACCCACAGGCTTGAGGCTAACATTCCAGTAACACTGAAGCCAGCAACATTCATCTTGGTAGATGCTTTTAAAAAAGAAAAACAAGTAATAACCTAAAAAACACACACACACACACAAAGAAATGCCCAAAAGCACTGTACTAAGAACAGAAAGCATTTTGGGGGGAGAAAGTGTTTAGTAATGCTTCTATTGTTATACAGTTTTATTGCTGAAAATGATATATGTTAACTACAAAAAAGATTAACCACATAATAGCTCTAAAATGCACATGGACTGCTGAAATAAGCCAACGCCAAGACCAAGAGAAGAGCAGACAATGAAGTTCGAGATGTGAAACTAGAGAGACTTGGGTTTGACCCCTGAATCCACCACAAGGAAACAAGATGCCTTAAACGAAATCCAGAAGAAACAAGTGAGGGCAGAATCAGATACACACAAATTTCAGCCATTAAATCAAACACATAAAATAAATTTTTGATATATCAAAAAAGGGGGGGGTTAAAAACATGGTTAAGGAATAAAGAGACCATTTTTCAAAAAATTCAAGTATATCTGAAAAAGAACTAGGTATTTTAAAATAATGATTGAAACATTTTAAACATGATTGAAAATGTCTTTGAAAAACCTCAAATTCAAGAGAGTATAAAAATCAAACTAGACACAGCTGAGGAGAAAATTAGCAACCAAAAAAAATCCTACATTAATTTTTCATTGCCTGATCAATTATTAACAATGGTATGTCAACATTCTCACTAGAAACAGAAAAAATAACAAGATGCCACTTAAAGCTGCCTTTTCCAGAGGGGCAGATAGGCCCCATGTGAATAAACAGAATTCAGTCAGCACTTATTCAGCCCTTATTCTGTGTAACACAAGATGTTAGGTGTATTACAAATACATCTTCTTTATCTTCACACTGACCTTATGCAGTGGGTACAAATATAGTAGAAAGATGAAAAATACACACTGGGACTCAGCAAGTGCCTTGTTCAAGGTCACAGAACCAGCATGTGTAAAACCACCACGTAATCTCCACCTCTGCCTGACTGCGACTAACTTAATATACCCAATACAAGGCAATACAAATATATCCTACTCTATGTTCAGTCCTTGACCTTGGTAAACCACATACCTACCCTGTGCTGAAAAAGACTCTCTCCATGACCAACCCTTGAGGCCTATTCCTGATTGGGCCTTGACCTTGCACTAATGTATCCAGTTTTAGCAAGAATCCTAAGTCAGTTTAGAGAGAATTCCCCTATCCCTTCATATCCGATCAAGTTTCTCATCCCTGCTCTTCCAACCCTTGATGTCTGAGCCCTTGGCCAGCCCTTAGCAGGAAGCCTATGGAGCAGTTAATAAGAATCCCCTTACCCCAATTTCTCCTCTTAGGAATTTTCCACCCCTTGAACCCCCTACTCTGATCCTTGCCTATAAATTCCCAGCTGCCTTTGTTGTTTTCAGAGTTGAGCCTGATCTTTCATCCCTATTACAATGCCCATTTTGCAAGTTTGAATAAAGTCTTCCCATAAACATCAGAAAGATTTTTTCTTTAACAACACAATTTTTTGATCTGTACAGTCAAAAGATGATTGTAACAATTTTTAAAATGGAAATTGTTAGTGCAAATTATTTAATTAGCACATAACTACAATCCCTGAGCTCAACTCCATTAGTATCTCTGTTACTCAAGCCTTTTTATAATACAACTTTGTCACTTTCACCGTCTATTGTCCTGTTGCTATATGTTATTGTGCAGTTGTAACACCACATATTTTCAAATCCTTATGTTCTCTTTTAGGAAGAGAAACTGAAAATTCCACACTGCTTCCTCAAAGAGTTTCATCAGCACACACGCAGGCCATGGACCCACACAATGCAGTGTGTTAGAGCAGTGTCTACAACATGCCTTAAAGTTCTAAGAGTTGTCTGTGCAGAGATTAGAACAAGTAAAAATATTAAACTGCATAATGATATAATAGTGATCTGCCTTACAGATTACTGTTATAATTTCCCCCTTAGATAAAGCGATATGAAAGTAACAGTCTTTGCTGAAGTTTTACATAGTCCCATGAATCAAAACCGACAAGGGACCCTAGAGCACGAATGTGTGCATGTACGTGTGTGTGAATCTTCCAAGTTCACTTACCAGTTTCTCCAGCTGTTTTGTTCTTCCCATGAGGCTTATACAGAACATAAGAGCATCCTTTCACGTGGAAGTGATCATTAATTTGTCTAAACCATCTGAAAATAACAAGAAGATTTGTTCACAGCAACAGTTTGATAACAAAGATGGCATCATTCCAATTCTAAAGAAATTCAATAGCCAAGTTGGGCACAGCTACTAGAGGTGAAGGCCCAGCAGCTGGATACAGGTTTGCTCCCAACACACATCTGCAATGATGCTTTGCAGAACTAGAAATAAGGTGTCGCCTCTAAGTGGGTCTGCGTACCTCATAAGTGTCGTATTTCCAGTGAAAGGACCAAACCTAATATCTTCAAATGGAGGTTGAAAGCCCAAAATATGTAAAGCTTCTTCTTGAGTAATAGGTGGAAGGCTACAAAAGAAACACTGCCTTTCATTTCACAATTCCAATCATATGGCAATATAACCCATCTCAATGTTAATATGTGTAATATGCAGACAATTTTAATGATAGTTTTCATTTTCAATTCATTGAAAAAATACATATACATCTTAAGCTAAAATTTTTATACTAATATACAGCAGTTTTTTAATTTATAAAAATATCTATTCTTAGAAATCTCCCATTATAGACAAAGGAACACCAAATTACTATTGAATTTGTAGTTTGGAGACACCAATAAATTGACATACTCACTTTCCAGCTCCCATTGTGCTATATAAGAAATTCCAACATGAAATTAAGGAGGAGATACCACAGGAAGTCTTATACTGTGGCCGGCTTATGCAGTACCTGGGGAAACAAAAGACTGTTTTCTTCACTTAAATGATACAAGATATTCATCCTAGAAATAGGAAGCTCACAGTAATTAAAGGTGTTATGATGATGAAAACTTCAATCCCCTAAATAAAAGTAAACTATTCACTCACTTAAAATATTTTCATGTCACAATAAATCATCCATTTTAATAAAGATAACTAAGTATTATCAACTACTAAAGTGGATGTTACTCAAACCAATGAAAAAAAATTTAATGATACATAAATTTAGACGTCACATGTTAAAATTTTGGTGTAAGTTTGACCTTAAAGTAGTAAAAAAAAAAAAAGAAAGAAAGAAAGAAAAGAAAAGAGAAAGAGGGGAAGAGAGGTTTTTCTTAGATTTTTGATCTTTTTCATTAATCTAAACTTGTTTACAGGTCTTATTCATGACCAGGTTAAAACTTTTCCCAACATTCTGCTATCTTCTATGGGTCCTTCCAGTCCAACCCAAATGTTATAATGCTCTCAGAGGAGTAAGCCTGCAGACCTGGTGATAGTTTCCCCTTAGGGCATTTCTCCTATATATCCTTCCTATTTATGGCCTTGCATCCTTTTTTATTAAAATAGAATTATGCATATTTATTGTCAAAATGAATCTTTTTTTTTGAGATGTCTCACTATGTTGCCCTCTGTAAAGTGCTGTAGTATCATAGCTCACAGCAACCTTAAACTCTTCGGCTTAAGTGATTCTCTTGTCTCAGCCTCCCAAGTAGCTGGGACTACAGGCACCCACCACAGTGCCCAGCTATTTTTTGTTGCAGTTGTCACTGTTGTTTAGCTGGCCCAGGCCAGGTTTGAACCCACCAAACTTGGTGCATGTGGTTGGTACCATAACCACTGTGTTTCAGGCGCTGAGCCAGTCAAAATGAATCTTAAGGCAGGGTGCAGTGGCTCACGTCTGTAATTCTAACCCTCTGGGGGGCGGGGGCAAGTGGATACCCTGAGCTGAAGAGTTCAAGACCAGCCTGAGCAAGAATGAGACTCTATCTCCACTGAAAACAGAAAAACTAGCCAAGCATTGTGGCAGGAACCTGTAGTCTCAGCAACTCAAGAAGTTGAGACAAGAGGATTGTTCTAACCTAGGCAGTTGAGGTTGATGTGAGCTATGACACCACTGCACTCTACCCAGGGCAACAGAGTGAGACTCTGTCTCAAAAACACAAACAAACAAACAAACAAAACCCCTTAATTCTAAGGGATTAGAAGTAAAAATGAGAAAAGCCTTTATTGAAGGACACTAAATTACTACCTTTGACTTTAGAGTCTCTTCTCCAATACACCCTACTTACTAACTACTCCTAAGTACTAATTACTCCCAAGTAAAATACCCTTTTGTTAAAAATCTTCAACAGCTTATCAATATCTTAGAAAAAAATAATCTAAAACTTTAGCCTGACTGTGACATGTATTTAAAAAATATATATGGAAACAATATACTGTATCCCATGATAGAATTAATGTGCATAAATATGATCTAATAAAAAAACTTTGGAGTCTGACTCTTTGGTTTCAATGCCAGATCTTCCCCTTATTAGCCATGTGGCGTTGGGCAAGTTTCTTGGCTTTTCTGAGCTTCACTCCAGACAAGTTATTCTACTTTTTATTACCAATGTGCCAGATAATCTCTTACAATCTGTTCTTACAATCTGTTCTTTCACCCCTCTGCCCCATCATATTTCTTCCCTTAAGACCTAAATCCTCAGTAAGGTATCTGGGTGGTCATTTTCTCCTCTCAGATTGATTACTCCTTCATATCCATCATCCAACAAACTGCCTGAGACATTTTATAGTTTTCTGCTTTGTGCTCCCTCTTCAATCAGATCTTAAACCTTGGGAAAACAAAGACCATATTTTGTTCATCTCTGTATTTCAAGCCCATAGTATATGGTCTAATATTTATTAAATAAGTGATAAAAATCTAATAGTGCTAAATAGTTGTGAAAAAAATTCACAACTAAAATCTGAGATCAATACTACGTAAAAGCAGTTAGGAACTGCACATTTTTTCCTTAGAATAGGAATCGTATTTTAAGGTAACCAAATAGCCCCAGTTGATGAGTGAAAGTTCTTCTTATTAGACAGAGGCCGGATAATAAAAGTAGAAGGAATGATAGAATTTCAAAACATAACTACTTTGCCACAAAGATTCAGGTAAGGGTTGCCAATGGATCTGACTAAAACCATAAAGTAAAAGTTTGTTGGGAGCCTGGATATTACCTGATGCCACTTTGTCACCCCACTGATTATGTAATAGTAGCAGAGAGGAAAGAAATAACCGGCCAACGTGGAAGGCAGCCATCACCACCTTGATCCAGTAATCACTCTTAGGGTCAGTCTCTAATATTGGATAATCTGATACCTTCTGATGTGAAGCCATATGCAGTACCCAGGAGCACTTAACCAGTATTGTCTTCTAAATGTTTAACTGGAATCTAATCAAGCCTTTATCTCCAACTTCCAGGTTATAGGAAACACTGAGTTTAGAAGCATGATTTAGGTAACTATAAGGAGAAAACAAATCCAAATCTTTTTACAAGATCTCTGGCTAAGTCTCTTTACTATGTCAATCTCTGCAACTTTATTTGTCAATTAAAATAAATAAATAAATAAATATCCTAGAACTTAAAAGGGAAGGAGGGAGTAGGGTGGAGACTGTTCTAGATTAAGAAAGACTCCTGTATCACAACAAGCAAACACGTTCATAGGTCACGGCTGGGTACCACTTTGAACAACCCGGCATGAAGACATTTTCAGAACAATCTGGGAAATGTGAATTTGGTCTGGGACTTAGATACCGAGGAGATGTCATTAATTGTACGAGGTATGACAATAGTATTGTGGCTATACAGAAAAAAAGTCATTTTTTAGACACGTAATAACAGGTAATTTGTAGTGAAAAATGATAAATATCAGTAACTTACTATAAAATTCTTCAGCAAAGAAAAACTACATATATAGCTATATCAAAACTTTAGCAATTAAATCTAGATAAGAATCATTAGTAACTATGGAATCACACAGATGATTTGAATGATCAGTGAACTCTGAGAAATCCTGGTATTATTAATCTGCTTCAAACATTTGTGGCACACACACTATGAATATTTAGGAATCCTAGAAGCAATTTTTAAAAATTATCAAACATGCAATTTATTAATCTGTGAATAACAGAATTATTCCCAAAACATTTATTTTAAAAATTAAGATATAAAAACCGATATAACAACATTACCATCGCCTGAGGTCTAATACTTTCCTCTGCTTAATATCTTCAAGAGGAGAATGCTGAAGACACTCCCTCTGACATCTTCCTTTTTTATCTGAAGCTTTTTTCTTGGAAATCTGTTTCTTTGCATTGCCTAACACAAGAGTATAAAATAAGCAAAATGCTTAAGATGAAGTGAACTGCGATGACAAAAATTATGTACCAAATTAAGTAACTGCCACTAATTCTAAAAATGATATTTGCAAACATATTAAAATAACACACGTATTTTAAAAATAGTCTCCCACGTTAAAGAGAAAGAAAGAATAAAAATAAAATTTTTAAACCATGAACATTATTTCCTATCAAGTTCTTATATTTTAATTCCAGGGCTAGTCACTTAGCTGGTAAAAGAATTAATCACAAAATCTCTAGCAACATCTAGAAAATCAAATTACCAACAGCAAAATATTTCACCAGACCACTTTCCAAAGAATGAAGCCTTTCTATAAAACGATAAAACCACATTAATGCAACGCTATTTAAAAACTAAAAGCTCGGCTCAGCGCCTGTGGCTCAAGTGGCTAAGGCGCCAGCCATGTACACCCAAGGTGGCGGGTTCGAATCCAGCCCGGGCCTGCCAAACAACAATGATGGCCGCAACCAAAAAATAGCCGGGCGTTGTGGCAGGCGCCTGTGGTCCCAGCTACTTGGGAGGTGGAGGCAGGAGACTCACTTGAGCCCAGGAGTTGGAGGTTGCCGTGAGCTGAGATGCCACGGCACTCTACCCAGGGGGACAGTTTGAGGCTCCTGTCTCAAAAAAAAAAACTAAAATCTCTGGATCTAATGTGATGATGTGATGTTTAAAAATACCTTCAGGCCTACAGAGGCCACGAAATGAATTAAGAATGATGTACACACATACATTATTAAAATGCAACTTTAGCACCAGGAAATAAATGGAAAACAAAGTCTCCTTTCTGTGTGCACGTACGTATGCACATGTGTGTACACACACACCTTCCAAAACACAAATACAACAACAGAGCTTACCTACTAGGGAAGGGGGGAATAGGAAACTGGACAAAAAGGAGACAAAAGTGAGAATAAAAATTTACATTGTTTAAATTTTACACTTTGTATTTCTGAATGATGCTAAATGATCCAGTCAAAACATTATATAAATTAAAATATTAATAAAAAAAAAATCTAAGTCTCCTTTAACATTGCAGATAGCTATGCTCAAATACTCAAAGAGGAAAATACTCTATTTTTTCCTTTTTTCTTTGTCGAGACAGCGTGTCACCCTGTGTAGAGTGCTCTAGCATCATAGCTGACAGCAATCTCAAACTGTTGGGCTCAAGCAATCCTCCTGCCTCAGCCTCTCAAGTAGCTGGGACTACAGATGCCCAACACAACCCCCAGCTACTTTCTTCTATTTCCAGTACAGACAGAGTCTCACTCTTGCTCAAGCAATCTATCAGCCTCAGCCTCCCAGAGCGCCAGGATTATAGGCATGAGTCACCTTGCCTGGTCCACACATATTCTACTTTAAATTAAACAAAATCTGTTATAAAAATTAACTGAGGGGAAATATTTTCTTGAGTTTTTCACACATATACTCCTATGGAAAAGGATTCATTTTAATTATTCAAGATACTCTACCATGAAACCATTTGGTACTTAAAACCGGCTGAACTCAGGAACCATATTAAACAAGGAATTTTTGTAAAATGTTATAATAGTGAACAACAATGAAGTCACAACACAATGGTCCTATAATAGTGAACAACAATAAAGTCATGAAAGAATGTTACCCTTTCCTTTTAATTTTTGTCTGTACTGAGAACACAACCACTGGGAAAGGAGAAAAATCTCACTGTGTCAATTTCCTTCAGTGGTAAAAGGGATCTTAAGAGAGTTAGAAGACAGAAAATGAGTGTTTAACATTTTTGAGATGTCTTCTCTGCCTAATAATGACTTGATTCTGGAAGTAGTTTTCCCAGACTCTTAAAAATCTTAAGCCTGTAGAAACATCAACATCCATGACCTCAATAGGCCTGGAGAGTGGCCTGTACTTTCCTCCGAGGGTTACATAAGCTTCTCTCTTCTTTTTATTGAATCCTATGATTTCCCCCTGGGATAAATGAGCACATATGTTCCAAATGAGCATATTTCATAAAATCCCCACACGGCCACAAAGAGATCTTCCTGCAGGCAAAATCTCATGTCCAAGAAGAAACTATGTCAAAGCCGAAGCTAAGTTTGAGATGAGAACATAAAAAAGCAACACCTGACGCGTCCACCTCCCTTCACGTCACGCCGGCAACCTCTGCCCACTGTCCCTTATCATCACCATATTCCTTCTTCCATTCCTCACCTTTCCGCACATGCTCACACAGCCCAACACCAAAAATACACAGATAGGTATTCACCACACTGGCTTCTAGAGAAAGGTATGAGGGTAGAAAAAGAGAAAATCCACCATCTTTCTTATTTGAAGAATAGAACAGAATTCTTCGTAATCACCCTCGCTGCAGGTAAAAGGGAACCCAGAAAGAAGGGAGTCACAGAGAAGAAGAGGTCCAATTTCTGGCCAAATCTGGGGCTGCCCCTGAACCATGCACATAAAGAGCAGACCCAAAAAGCAACACAGCTAGGGGTAAAAGAAATGAGCTGAGGTTGAACCTGTCCCCACGAGACAGAATTTGCAGTTTTAGTTAAAACAAATTAATGGCCTGCCAAAAAAAAGAAAATTAACATTCTTTGGAGGACTATACCAGAATTACCATAACAGTCCCACTATCTAGGATAGAATGCAAAATTATAGAACATATGAGGAAACTGAAAACTCATTCTCAAGAACAAAGATAAGGCCAAGTCTGAGATGAGCCAGATTTTGAAATCTGCAGATAAATATTTAAAGTAGATATTATAACTACACATTATGAGACAGATCAAATGTGCTTGTCACAAATGAAAAAACAGCAAATCTCAGATAAGAAACATAAGCCATACAAGTGTAAATTCTAGAACAAAATAGATGGGAAAAGATATACTATGCAAACACTAACCAAAAGAAAGCTGGGGCAGCCAAGTTAGTGTTAAACAAAATAGCTCTCCAGAAACTATAAATACTGCTAGGTGTAATGAATGACATTTTCATAATGATAAAAGGGTCCATTCATGAAGAAGGCATAAAACTCAGATGTGTGTGTACACCATAACAGAGCTTCAAATGGCAGTTTTTTAAATCAACAGAATGGAATCTAGGAAGCACCAGGAATCTGTCTCCCCATCTAGACAGCAACTGCATAGGCAGACTCTATCTGATGTAACTATTTTGGAATCTGGAGTCTATACAAGGGATTGTTACTTTGGAGAAGCCCTGAGCAGTAAATTGTGGTTAATTTTGGACAATTTCAGCTTATAGCAAGGGAACAGCTACCCATCCCCCAGCCCAGTGGTGGCCAGTCATGAATATTTTTCTGGAGTAGCTCCAGGTAGCTTGTTGGGAGACAGGGTAGGCAGAAAGGACCAGGACCTGCAGAAACTGGACATCAGATTTCTGATTGCTGATTGCTGCTTCTGATCTTAGAGACACAGACACAGGGTAGGAAGCCATTGTCATGCTCCTAACTTAACTGTTGCAAGAGTCTTCCTCTCAAATTGAAGCAACTTCCAGAAGATTTAAAAGACTAGCAGCCCCCTTTACGGCTTGGGGTTTTTTGGACTTTTTTCCCATTTTTTTCCTCTCCTTCATTATTATGTTTTGTTTTGTTTTGTTTCCTTTCTGGAAGCCAGACATTTAAAGTGAAGTACATTCAAAAGCAACCACATATACAGGGAAAGTCTTTAAAAAGTCACTGTGTACATCCAAGGAAAAGCATGGGCTTAATAAGGACCTGAAAAGCCCTTAGGTTTACACTTTAGGCACAAACACAGCCTACAGTGATCAAAAACAAAACCAAAAATCAATAAACTCTGGCGAAAAGGAAAATCTCATTTTCAGAGTTATTACATTACTAGATGACATTTGAAAGTTAGTTTCCAACAAACAAAAAAATCATAGGACGTACAAAATAAAAACAGGAAAGTATGGACCACTGAGAGGGGAAAAAAATATCCAACAGAAATCACGTCTGAGAAAGCAGATTTGCTCAACAAAATTGTTTGTTTGTTTGTTTGTTTTAATTTTTAAAGGTCTTTTTGTTGTTGTTGTTGAGCCAGAGTTCATATTGTCATCCTGGGTAGAGTGCTGGGACATCATCATAGCTCATAGTAACCTCTAACTCTTGGGCTCAAGCTATCCTCTTGCCTCGGTTTTTCTATTTTTTTTAGTAGAGACTAGGTCTCACTCTTGTTCAGGCTGATCTCAAACTTCTGAGCTCCAGCAATTCAAACGCCTTGGCTTCCCAAAGTGCTGGCATTACAGGGGTAAGCCACTGTGCCTGGCATAGACAAAGTTTTTAAAGCCATCCTCTTAAAGATGCTCAAAGAACTAAAGGAAGAGGTACGTATGAACAAAATTAAAGAAATAGGAAACCTGAAAAGAAACCAGAAAGAAATTTGAAGGCTGAAAAATACAAAAACTGAAATGAAAAATTCACTAGAGAGATTCCGGCAGATTTGAGCAAGCAGAAGAAAGAATTAGTGAACTTGAAGATAGAACAACTGAATTATTGAGACTTGGGAAAAGAAATAGAAAAGATTGAAAAAAAGTTAACAGACTTAAAGGACTAGTGGACACCAACAAAGTGAAAATTCCAGAAAAAGAAGACAAAGAAAGGGGTAGGAAGATTATCCAAAGAAATAATGGCTGAAAACATCCCAAATCTGATGAAAAAAGTGAATGCAAATATCCAAAAAAAAAAAAACTCAACAAAGTCCAAGTAGGATGACCCACACCAAGAAACTTGATAATCAAACTGTAAAATAAACAACAATAATGACAAAACAAAGACAGAGTCTTGAAAGCAGCAAGAGAGAAGCAACACATCACATACAAGGGATCCTCAATAAGATTATAAACAGATTTCTCACAGAAAGTCTGGAGGCCAGAAGTAAGAAGGCTGATTCAAAGTGCTTAAAAAAAAAAAAAAAAAAAAGTCAAACCAGATCCAGCAAAACTATCTTTCAAAAGTGAAAGAAAAATTAAAACATTCCCAGAGAAACAAAAATTGAGGGAGTTCACTACTAAACCTGACCAGCAAAAGGAGTCCTACAGGTTGAAACTAAAGGGTGCCAGGCAGTAACTCAAAGCCATATGAAGAAATATATATCTCAGTAAATGTAAATACATAGGCAATTATGAAAGCTAGTGTTTTAACTTTGGTTTACAACTCTATTTCTTATTATAACTTTGGTTTGTAACTCCAATTTTGTTTTCTACATTATTTAAGAGATGCATAAAAATTATTAGTTTGTATTTTAAGACATACACTATATAAAGATGTGATTCTGACAACCAAAAGATGTGACATTGACAACCAAAAGGGTAGAAAGGAGTAGAATTTCTGTATGTTTCTGAAGTTAGATAATATAAAATCAGATTGGAGTGTTACAACATTAGAATATTAACTGTAATCCCCATAGACACGACAAACAAAACAGCTATAGAATATACACATACAAACAAAATGAAAATGAGGAGGAAACAAAAACATTTCCCTACAAAGAAATCAACTGAACACAAAAGACAGTAATGCAGGAAATGAAGGATCAAAAAATTTTAAAGACTATTGAAAATAAACGGCAAAATGGCAGAAGTCCCTCCTACTCAGTAAGTACTTTAAATGTAAATGGTTAAACTCTCCAATCGAAAGCCAGAGATGGCCAGAACAGATTAAAAACAAAGTGATCTAACTATATGCTATCTATAAGAGACTTTATTTTTTATTTTTTTGTGATTATGGATAAATAATAGTTGTATAGGTTTATAGGATACATGTGATGTTTCGATACAGGCAAAATATAAATGTAAATTAATCAAATCAGGATAACTGATTTGCCATTAACTCAGGCATTTATCATTTTTTGTGTTAGGAACGTTCCAATTCCATCATCTTAGTTATTTTAAGGTATAACCTAATTTGGCATTGATTATTGTCAGTTTGTTCAGTTTAGATATAGAGACAAAAATAGGTTGAAAGTGAAAGGGTAGGGATTTCTAAGCAAATTTTAACCAGCAGAAAAAAGTAGTGGCTGTAAATAAGCCTGGCACGAAAGACAAATACTATACAGTAGTATCGAGGTATTTAATGTAGTCAAATTCCCAGAGTCAGAAAGTGGAAAGGTGGTTGTGAGGCATTGAAGGAAGAGGAAACCAGAAGGTATTGTTTAATGGGTAGAGTTTCAATTGTACGAGATAAAAAGAGACCTGCAAATGGATAATGGTGGTGGTTGCCCAAGAATACAGATGTACTTAATGTCACTAAGTTGTACACTTAAAAATGGTGAAGGTGGTAAACTTCACCTTATGTGAGTTTTATTGGAATTTTTTTAAATGTGTTGTTTTTAAAAAAAGAAATTAAATGAAGAAAAGATAACTCATAGCTGCAGTTGATTTTTAATACTACTCTGTTAGCAATTGATAGAATAAGACAAAAATTAAGCAGAGACACAAAAGACATGAACATTTTTGAACACTTCGACCTAATTAATATTTATAGATACAGTGACCGCAAAATGCACATTCTTTTCAAGTGCATGCAGTACACTCAGCAAGACAGACCATACGCTGGGTCATAAAACAAGTGTGAGTACATTTAAAGACACTGAGATCACCCATCTTCTGCCCACAATGGAAATATATTCAAAATCAATAGTTAGAAAACGCCCAAATATCTATAAATGAAATAACATACATCTAAGTATGCTTGTATCAAAGAGGAAATTACAAAGAAATTAGAAAATACGTCAAATGAAATGATAATAAAAATAAAGCAGATCAAATTTTGGGGAGAGGCAGCTAAGGTGGTAATTAAAAAGCAATTAGAGCATTATATGCTTATTATAGAAAAGTCTCAAACTGATGATCTACACTTCATTAGTCAGAAAATGAAAAAGAGTAAACCCAAAGTTAAGTAGAAAGAAATCATAAAGAGACTATATCAATGAAATAACAAATAGTGGAGAAAATTAACAAAGTTATGAGTCAATTATTTGAACAGATAAACAAAACTGGCAAACCCTTATAGCTAGACTGACCAAGAGAAAAAGAAAAAAAATTGCTCGTATCAGGAATGAAGGAGGGGTTATCACTCCAGACTCTATAGATGTTAGGGGAATAACATCAACTGAGACCTGAAAATTTGACCACTATATAAAACAGACAAACTAAAATTCATCAGAAATTAATAAAAATCAAGAAAATTCTATAATTATAGCTAGAGATTTTTAAATTCCTCTGAAAACCTTCATAAAAAAGAGAAGAAAACACCCCTTCAACTTGTCTTAGAAGACTTGCGTGGCCCCATGCCAAAACCTGACAAAGACATTACAAAAAAAAAAGAGAGAGAGAGAGAGAGAAAATGATACACTTATTACTCATAAACAGAAATCCTCCTCCACAAAGTGAAAACCTTGAGAATTATAAATTTATATAGCATTTAGTGAAGCAAATTGATTTTGTAACTAAACAAGAAAAAACGTGAGGATTTACAAAATCATCAGAAAAGCCTAGAAGTAAAATAAAAATCTTGGTTCTACCTCTTCCTAGCTGTGCACCATCCGGTAAAGAGACTCATCCCTCTGAGCCTCAATTTCTTCACCTAGAAAATGAAGACAATTGTAGCGACCTCATTAAATTCCTGTATTAGGGTGAGTTCCAAAGAAAGAAGTGACAAGCGTGCATATCTGCCACAGGACCATCCCATTGCAATTGTGAAGGTTGCACACTGCTCCCTGGAGGAACAGCATCCTCTTAAATTACACAGTACGCAGCCTATTCCATGGTACATGGAGGCCTTGCTGGGTGCTCAAAAAAATTTAAACAGCATCAAAAAAACTACAATATTATATACTAGAAAAGAAAACTAGATGTTCTTTCAGGAAATAAGACCACGTGTCCCTTTAAAACTATGAAATAGTAGTATGCTATTCTGGCCGTCCTACTAACCTTTTCTAAACTACCACATACTTGTCTGTAATACCTGTATTTTACAACATACTCAGATATTCAAACTCTCAAAATATAAAGGTTATGCTCGAAGTTTCCAGTGGCAACGCATTAAGGAACTAAATGTACAAGGTTGCTTGTTTTTTTTAACCACAACAGACAAGATGATAACAGTCCTTGCTCAGTATTATACAAGGAAACACAGTTAACACCAAGATGGAACAAAATAGAGTGTTTGTTTTCTCCGTGTTTTTATTTCTAAACTTCAGGACTCCTTCCTTACCTGATTTATGTTTCAAATTTGTGGTCACCCCATCAAATTCCGATTTATCAATTTCCCACGCAAGAGGTAGCTTGCCGAGGCTGGTGGATAAGTTTTCCAAGCTATTTTCTTCATTATAGATGATTTCTGATGTACTGGTTGGGATACCAATGTACCTTGATGAATTATTTCCAGCAGACAAAGAGGTACTAGCAGGGAGGCAAGAGGAGCGGGACGCATTTGGAGTTTTATAGATTGAGGTTGCCTGGTTGAGAAAGGCATAGTCTGAACAGATGGCATAAATTTTTTCCCGAGTGTGAGTCACCGGACAACTCCACGGATAATGACCATCTCCTTTGGGACCCAAGGGTGCTCCTGAGGCACTTGAGCAGAAAGATGTTACAGCACCTTGTAGACTTTCTTCAGGAGACGTCCTCTCAGATTTGTGCTCGCCATTTCCAGAATCATTTGACCTTTCTGTTTCGGCAATGTTAGGCATTGAATGCACTGTCAAAGTTTCTGTTACTAGGAAGAAGTTGCAACTCTTTTTGGTGTTTTGAAAAACAACTTTGACAATTGTTTACAGCATTCTATAAAAACTCAAGTGCTGCAAAATGGGTTCTTAAGAAAAGAGAGAAGAAAATGAATGATCAATAACCCAGCAGATACTATAAACAGCACTAAAAAATCTATCAATTATTATGCATATGCTTTCATTCGATGTTTGTTTCACAACTTCTAAATGCCTCAAGTCATGATCACTGACCATCTGTCTAATTTTAAAAATTGGTTTAAATAATATATTAGAGTAATAAGAAAGACAAATAACCCGATTTAAAAAATGGGCAAAGAATCTGAATAGTCACTTTTCCACAGGCAACACAGAAATGGCCGATAAGCACATGAAAACTGCAGTCTCCAACCCCTAGAATAAGACCACTAAATGTTGGTGGCCTGTTAGGGACCGGCTCACTGGTTCCTGCAGCATCACCACCTAAACTCCACCTCCAGTCCCATAAAAATTGTGTTCCATAAAACTAGTTCCTGGTTCCAGAAAGGTTAAGGAACCACTGCAGGAAAAGATGTCCAGCATGATTAGCCATCAGGGAAATGCAAATCAAAGCCACAGGGAGATACCAGCTCACGCCCACTAGAATGGCTGTAATCAAAAACACAAATAATAACAAGTATTGGTGAGAATGTGGAGAAATGGAACCCTCATACATTACTACCGGAAGTGTAAAGTGGTCCAGTTGCTTTGGAAAACAATTCTTCAAATATTTAAACAGAGCTACCACTTGGCCCAGGAATCTCACTCCTACCCAAGAGAAATGAAAACCCATGTCCACCCTAATGTTGACAGCAGCATTATTCATCACAGCCAAAAAGTAGAAACAAGCTACATGTCCATCAACTGATGATTGTATAAATAAAATGTGGTATATCCATATAATGGAATATAATTTGTTAATAAAAGGAAATGAAGTACTGATATATGCTACAATGTGGATGAACCCTGAAAACATTATACTACAGGCCTGGGAACTTGGGGGTGATGGGGTTTATTTTTGGAGTAATGAGAACATTTTATAACTGACTAAAGCAATGAATACACAACTCTGTGAATACACTAAATGCCGTGGAACTGCAAAGTTTAACAGGTGAATATATGGTGTGTGAATTATATATCAATAAAGCTGTTTAAGAAATAATGCATTAGCGATATTCTTTTTAAAACATACACATATAGGCAGGCATAAAGGATACATGATAAATAATAGCAAAAGATCTAAACCAACAAAAGACACAGAATTTAAATTTTTTAAAGATTCATCACCTGAAAAGAAATCAGATCCAAGTAAGCTATCAGTAACTTCTGATCAGTCTCAGGAAAAATCAAACTTCAAGTCTAAAATAATTCCTGTGGGAAAGAAAACAGAAGAGTTTAAATAACTGAGGACATTCATAGACGCTGAAGAGTTATACAAAAGGAAGTCGTTGATGAATCAAATCACCACAGGCGATGCCAGGAAAACGCCATACGTGGGCAGACTGCCTGGGTTTCTCCAGGCTCCAACAAGGGCAGCACTTGAGAGATTCACCCAACCCTGGCTGTTCAGTTTGCCTTTTACGAGTTAAAAAAATTAGAAACGAAAATAACTTCTATGGCTACAGAAAACTGAGTATATTGCAACCATCATACAATATAGCAAAGGACGAAACCTATGACTAAGGCTGCAAGAAATAACAGATGATTCACACAAGGCCCCCTGTGCTAGCCTGATCTGTGAGGGGAGACCAGTAAAGGTACTGGGTGCTCTTTTTATAATTTAGGGAAACGGAGCTGCATGTAAAGACCCTCTGTAAGATTCCACCTTCTGTACTTTTAAGGCATGCTTTCTCTCTGTTCAAACTCTTGGGTGGTGGTTTTTAAATAATTTGTGCAGAGTGTGTAGTTGTTTGCAGATCACTTAGGCAGGAGCATCACCACTGTGGATGGAGCACCCAGCGGCTTCATTTTGTAAACTTTCGCTTTTTTAGGAGTAGGTGCAGTGGATCCCTAGTCAGGAAGTGTTGATGTCTTCTCCTTCCAATTCATTTCGTGGTGTGGTGGTTGCCGATGGAGGAAGGTGCCAAGGGAAACTCGGTGCCGATGCTCTAGAAACCCAACCCTGGTCTTTGTGGAAGATAAAGTTTCTCTGATTCTTGGCAGAAATCCTAAAGTAGTATTTTCTACTTCTTATCCGTGATGTTCACACTTTTCTCTGAAAGCCAGTGTGGTGGATAGGAAGGTGTTTTGTGGTGTTGGGGTTGGGTGATGGGAGTGAGGAAAGAGAGAATATAGTTATGCTGAGGGAGCCCCAAAGATTACTGGAGTTAGTTTGGTGAGGGGAGATGGGAATGTTCCAGGCTCTGCACTTTTCATAACCTCACCCCAAACTTAGCTTCCACTTTGCCATGGTTTCCTTCCTCAAACTGAATGGAATTTTGCCTCGGGGCCAGTTCTCTGTGTGACAGTATAGGGATTTTACGAAGTTCATTCATGAACTTATCTAGGAGAATATTCTCATCTCAAGCACAGGCAAAGGGAAATTACTGCATTGGAGGCTGAGCTTCCTGGAAGCTGAAGACGAGAACGAATGTAGCACCTAATTTATAAAAAGTGTAACAACCTGGTTTTGTTTGTTTGTACTTTTGGTTTCTTTGCTTTTAAATAATGCTCACGGAATAAGAATGATCTCTTTGGTAGCAGTTCCACCATAAGGAAGCTAAAATCATTAACATGAGAATACATATTGATTGTCACTAAAAACCAAAGTATCAAAACTTTCTCATTTGAAACACTGATTATATAAATTTCTCAATGGAAATTTGTGTAATATTCATAGATTTTTTTATTATATAAGTAAAACACAATTACTGGGGAAAAAAATGCCAAGTGCCAAAAGATACTACATAGAAAATGAAAATTATCCAAATCCCACGACCTGCTACTTTCTTTCCATATTGTCTGATTCACGTCTGTCTCCCACTGTAGTGAAAGCTCTACAGCCAAGAGGGCTTCTGTTATTGTATCCTCAGTATTTTGCTGACATCTCAGCTTTCTTAGTAAAATGTACTAAGCACAATTTATTATAGATAACAGAATCATTATTGACATCAATTACTGTATTATGTTGTAATTACAGCCTCAGGAAATTTGAGTTAGAGACCTCATTTGTCCCTCCACTTAATAGCCTGCAACTGTCAGGGTTTTGTCACATCTTCTATCTCCTTTTGCCTCTATACTTATTTTTAATATATTTTTTTAGAGACAGGGTGTCACTCTGTTGCCCATGCTGGAGTGCAGCGGTGTGATCATAGCTCCCTGCAATCTTGAACTCCCTAACTCAAGCTATTCTCCTACCTCAGCCTCTTAGTAACTGGGACTACAAGTGCACACCACCATGCCCAGATCATTTTTTATCTTTTGTGGACTTATTCACACCACGTTACCCAAGCTGGTCTCCAAATTCAGGCCTCAAGCAATACTCTTTCTCAGGCTCCCAAAGTGCATGAACCACAACACCCAGCCTTGATTCTGTATTTATAAACTATTCCCAATTCCATGCCCACTCCTAGCTCCTTTGCCCCCCAGCCCCACCTTCCCACCCTCGTACTGTGAGTTGACAAGTTTAAACTGACCGTGCATATTAGAAAATATTTAAAAATAAAGATTGCCAAATACATGTGATCGTGTAACTCTGGTGTCTGAAACCCTCTGCTCGTAAAACAAAAATCTCCTCATCTGGCACCAAGATCTATCTAGTTAGGTGATTCTTGTTCTTCATTACCTAGCCACCCTCCTTTATTTAGTTAACTCCCATTCATCTTTCAAATGTTTCAAGCTCTAGTATGATTTTCTGGGGAAGCTTTCTTTGCACAGCAAACTAGGCCAGGCCACTCCGAGAATTTTCCTATATATTTCTTGCACACATCTTACCAGGGAGCGACTTTACACTTACATTTGTGCTTGTGGGTTTATATGATGAATGCCTGCCTCCTACAAGCCTGGTTTTCCTATTGTATCCCAGGACCTACCATTTGTAGAAGTCTCACTCAACATTTATTTTTTAAGTGCCTACCCAATGTGGGGCATCATTGTACCCTCTTTTTGATGACCGAGGTTGCCTTCCAGGTAAGGGAGGTATTGCTGTATTAAAGATTTACTACTCAGAATGATTGCAGGACCTAAGGCTCAACTTAATGGCTTGTTCATAAAATCGTGTATTGTTTATTGTGTGCAAAGCCAAGTTTTATAAAACGGCAAGCTTTAAATGCACCGGTAGCTTAACGATTGTTAAAAGTCATTGGAACAAATTGGTCTGCAGGATAACGTTCTGTTTGTAAATCCAATTATTTCTCGACTAGGTTGTGCTCTTTTCAGGTCATATTTCAAGTCTGTATTCTTCAATATGAAGTTTATGAGAGAACTAAACATCTTTTTTTTTCCAAACATCTTTAAAAATATCTTCAGTAAAGCCTTCCACATACAACAAATGCTATGATCTATACTCTGCATAGAAGCAACCGAGCCGCTGGGACAGTGGGTGACTTAGTAAGGGTCGATGGGCGCCCGCCCTAAGAAGAGACCAGAAAGGCTGAGCCCC